AATTTTTTTAAACCTATTTTTATGACCCTATTATATTCGTATGCACTTTCTGTTTTTTATTTCACCTCAAATATTTTTATTAACCTGAACGAAGCTTGCCACCTCTACGCGGTGTCCAGGAGAAACAGTTATAGATTCATTTATATCTGGCTAAGCGCAAGCATTTATTCTTTGAAATATTGATTATATTCATGTAAAATTAAATAGAAAAATTATACAATTTTTTTTTTAATAAAGAATTATAGCATAATGTAATAAAAAATAAGGACTGCACTTGATATTTTAACAAATAAATTTGTCATTATAAAAATGGTTAAAATATATTAGGTAACATAAATTTTATAATATATTTTGAACTGAAATTATACGCGCCTCAAGTTCGCATGAATTCTTTTAAGTTGATTGATAGTAAAATTTTGTGTTAGATATTGTGTTCGTGTGTTCGATCTGCAAAATGATATAACAGCAATGAAACGTGCACAATGTAGTACAACATTAAATTATATAATGTACAACTTGTACTAAATTTTTTTTTTTTAAAAAAATTAAAACATAACAATGTCAAAAGATAGCGATATAAAAGGTTTAAAATATCATATTGATTGGTTAGAGAAATCGATTGCCGAAGATCATATTAAATTTTATAAATACTCGGATTTCCAAAATAAAAGTTACATAGGAAAGGGTTCATATGGAAAGGTTTGTCGAATTAGTTGGAAAAAGAAACAAATTTTCGCCTTGAAATCTTTTAAAAATTCTCAAGTCGTCATCAATGAAATTGTGGAAGAGGTATAATAATCAGTAGTTATGTAAGTGAAAAGAAAAGTTTGCATTATTAAATACTTGCTTTATTTATTTAACACAGTTGAAACTGCATCGGAATGTTAATTATCATGACAATATAATACGGTTATATGGTGTCACCATGGCAAAACCCAGTGAGTATTTTATTGAATCTTTTATATTTTTTACTTTTAATTTATAAATGCATTTTTGTACAGATGAATACACTTTGGTCTTAGAATACGCCGATGGCGGTACATTGAACGATTATTTAAATAAACATTTCAGTGAACTTAATTGGGATGACAAATACCAGTTGGCAATTTAACTTTCAAATGCTGTAGAATTTTTACATGAAGCAAATATTATCCATCGTGATCTGGTAATAATAAATTTTTCTAATTCTGTCTTGCTAAAGTCATTGATTATTAATATTATTAATTCAAAATTATACAAAGCATGCCGGTAATATACTATTACATCAGCAAAAAATTAAATTAGCAGACTTTGGTTTATCAAGAAAAATTACAGAAACGTCAAGTAATTCATCAAAAATATTTGGTATCATACCTTATGTGGACTCAAAACGTTTAAAGGATAGTTATTACAAATCAAATAAAATGTCTGATATCTATAGTATTATTGGAGTACTTTTATGGCAAATTTCAAGTGGATATAAACCATTTTATGGCTTAGATTATGATGTGAGTTTATCCTTAAATATCATAGGTGGAAAAAGAGAGAAAATAATTGACGGCACTCCACATGAATACTTTATCCTATATCAAAGTAAGTAATGTTAATAATATAATTTTATAAAAATTTTTTTTCTTTCGATACTAATTTACTTATATTAAAATGTTGGAAAAATGAACCAAATGAACGTCCAAAGATACAGGAAGTTGTTTCATCTCTTGAAGCAATAATTTCTCTCAAACAAAGTAACACATGTATTGACAATATTAATGAAAATGAATGTAATAATAGTGAATCTATATTAAGCAAAGGAACTTCAATTTATGATTCCAATATTTATAAATTAGATATTACTAATTTTAAACAAGAATATGTACAGTTGGATGATGGTAATGTAACTGATGTGAAGAGAATTGCTTCAGAAGTAATCAATACTGATGATGATAACGTAGAACTTATTGAACCAAATTTTAATACGAAATCGTCAATCCGCGGTGGAATAGATGTCGCAATAAACATTTCAGTACCATTTGAAAGTTTTTTACCACTTATTAAAGAAGTAGCCAAGGTTTTCAACGAAATCGTAGAAATATATCAAGCAGCTGAACATAATAAAAAAATATGTGGAATTTGTTGAATAGAGTCCAAGTTGCTGATAAAGCCCTAAGAAATTTAAAAAATCGTAGAGTTGAAAATATATTATTCTTTTCAGCAAGAAACTTATATAATTTACAAAAGATAGTTCATGTCATTGATAAAATTTGTAAATTTGTTGAAGAAATTTCTCAGATAAAAGGATTATCAAAGTATATTCATGACAATAGTATTGAAAGACGTGTAAAAGAATTAATGAATGAATTTGATTCTACTATATGCCTTCTGCAATTTTCTTTGATAGTTGACTTTAGCTTACGTGCCAACAAAGATGATCAGGACATTAAGACTGATATCGAAGATTTATTCCAGGTAACGCATGATATAATTTAATTTTCTAATTCATAAATCTAATTTATAAATCTCTTACGTATTTATATAGTATCTTAAAGATATTGGCAGCGGTATCACTAACACGAATCAAAATGTCTCGGAAATGGTCGTACAAATTAATTTGCTGAACACTACTGTGAATGAATTAAGATATCGATCATCAACAGATCAATCAGATGTATTCCAAAGCGAATTACTTGAATTTAACTTTGAAGAAGGCATACCCATTGTAAATCAAAATGTAAGAAAATTTAAAAGAAAATATGAATTTAACGATTATGTCGCATTAAAGTTGGTGGCTGAAAAGTTTAGTAATGAAGAAAAAAAAGCTAACCTTAAACGTCAAGTCACAATTTTAAAAAAATTGAGAGAATGTCATTTTATTATTCAATTTCATGGTTTAACTTCATATGAAGATAATTTATATTTGGTAATGGAATGGGCTGATTATGGCAATTTACGTGAATATTATCAAAAATATGGTCCACTTGAAGTTAAAATGAAAGTAAGAATTGCTCTTGACATTGCTAGAGGCTTAAATTTTTTGAGCGCCGTTTCGGTAATATATATATTAATTTATTCATCCCCCAAAAGAATTCTTATTTAAACTAACCTGTACTTACTTTGGTGATAAACTTATCTTGATAGATCGTTCATTGTGATATAAGAGCCAAGAATATCTTAATTACCGATCATGAAACTGCCAAGATTACAAATTTTACATTAAGTCGGGTAGTATCCGATAGTACTCAAAATTTAAAACCAGCAACAGATGCAATACGATATTGCGCTCCGGAAAAATTAAATGATAAATATAAATATGATACCTCGTGTGAAGTTTATAGTTTTGGCATACTACTTTGGGAAATTGCCGAAGAAAAAATTCCTTATGAGAAATTTGGTTCTGATTCTATGGAAATACTGGAGAAAGTTTGCGTAGACAAATATCGGGAACCATTTTCTCATGGTTCTCCTATACCAATTGAATATCAGAAGCTCGCAAAAATAGGTATTTATTATTTAAATAATAAACTTTTTGCTCTTTATATTTAAATACTAAGCTTCTGTAAATTTATATAATAGCTGTTAATCACGATCATAATTTTCGACCTCAATTTTCAAAGGTCTTTACCACACTTCAAGAAATTTATAAAAAATGTTGTATACCATCATCATTTTATATTGATCCTGCGTCAGAAGATTCAGATAATTTTATTTTATCAGAAGTTGATGCAGATGAAACTATGATTATACCAAATTTTGCAGATTTTGATTACTTAACAATAGATGAAACAGCGAAACAACATAAAATTCCTGGAGGTAAAGGCAATATAAAATCAGCTTATAAATGTTTTAACGCATATTCAGAATTAGGTGATGTGAGAGCAAAATATATGAAAGGCTACTATATTCAACAAAATTTAGTTAAACTTGATTTGGACCAAATAGCAAAAGATAAATTAGTAGCAGAATTATATAAAGAAGCAGCAGATGAAGGAGATGAATTTCCTGAAGCTCAATTACGTTATGGCGTTCTTTTATTTAAAGGTATTGGAGTACAAAAGGATATAAAAGAAGCTGCGTTATATTTTACCAAAGCCGCTGAAAATGGACATGCCGTTGATATGTTTAATGCCGCTACTTTATATTTCTATGGTATTGATGGTAATAAAGATGAAGCATTAGGTAAAAAATATATGATAGCAGCTGCTTATAAACAGCATAAGCTAGCTATTGAATATTGCAAGAAACATGGCTTACCTTTGTAGTACTTTTGTTTTATATTTCCAACGAAAATTACTTGTTTATTATTATTTCTATTGGATTGATGGATATCAATTAATTAATCATAATCGTAAAGGAAATACCTACTCAAAGGCATATTACTTAAGTGTATGGAATAATTATCTAAAAATATTTTCGTAATAAAATACATTTTCCCAACTTTGCTTCTTTCAATCATTAAGATAACAATAAGTTCGCTATGTACAGTCAACCCTCTCTAAATGCACTCTCTCTAAATGCACATACTATATATTTTCTCTCTAAATGCATGCTCTCGTTCAGTCCCAAGCATATAGAATTCATATAGAAATTTCTCTTTAAATGCACACCCTCTTTAAATGCACATTTTTTAAAATTTTCACTATGGTCCCAAGTGGGATAATCTACGAAAATATTAATTATAAAATTATTTTCGAAGTTACATTCAAACATTTTATTCAAAATAAATACTATAATCAAGAATAAGAAAAATAAATTGATCTTAACTGGTAAATATAAACGCAAAGCGAATTTTTATTTAAATTAAAACAATTTTCATCAAGAAGATCATTTAGAAAATGGAAGTTAACGAGGCATACTGCTATTTCATTGAAAGGTGCGAAACTTTTAATCACACTTGGATTTTGTATTTTACAATCGCTTCTAAAAATTCTTGATATCTATAATAAGAATTAGAGGAAGTTTTCTCTGAGTATATTAATAATCTAAGCTCCTCCAATCATAATTTTTTTATATAATAAATAGTAAACAGCGACAGCTTGTAAATTTTTAAATTTTGATTACCACAATATCAGAAATCCAAGGAATTAATTTTCCACAGTTACCAAAGCTTGATTGATAAGTTGCTTTATAAATTGGTTAAGATCGGGTTACGAACATAATAAATCATCTCTAACGTGATTTTAATAGCAAACCTCCCAATTGTTCAAGCGTTAAATAGATTATCACGAAAACTTAATCCCAACGCTCATGTTTTGTCAATTAGAAAATAAGGTATAATGTTATTTCCGTATCTCACGAATTATTTTTTTTGTTAGTCTGAAAAACACTTGTAAGGAAATAAAATAATAAGAATATTTGGATGTGTTTCAGTTGAAAAAAAGGGACGATATTTGGTATTGTGAGCTCTAAAAAAAAATTTTGAGATAAAGAAAGGAAATTGCTACAGTAATTTTTTAGAAATGATTGTTAAATTGAATATAATTACGCCACTCGTGATTTTACCGAGATCTTTCTTCTTTGATTCATACATCTTTACTTGTTTTCGAAATTTTAAATTTATTATTTTTTCGTTGTAACTTTGTGCTTCGTTATTTTTCATGTTTTTTATTTCTCTGATTATTATTTTTTTTCATAGTTAAATTCGGAAGTATAGAACACCGACATTGAGGTAACACTGATTGATTATTTAATAACATAATTAAATTAATAAAAACTTTCTGCTTACATTTAAATTTGTTATAAATATAAACGTAAAACTGAAAACTACATGACTTATCCAATATTGTTCGTAACTAGACAAATCAATATACAAATAAACCTGATAATCAATCACGCTACCACCTCAAAGCAAAGCTTTTTTATACTTTAATAAAGACTGTATATTATCGAGCATTAAAATAACGTCATCCAAACAAGAAACCTTAACGTCAAACAGGAGGCAGGAAACACGTAATACACTCATTGACAAGATCCACTTAAAAAATCTACCGAACCTTAAAATTTTAGAGATTCTGGGATATAAAGCAAAAAATGGTTATGGCCGTATTAAAAGAAATAATACCATATGCATCTTGAGAATTCGAGCAATATATTTGAAGGCAGCTCTCACTTTCTGTTAGATCTATTGCTGCTAGTTAGAAGATATTGAAGTCAACAGTTTCTAGACTTGGATACCGAATTATTACATTAATGTTTACACAAGATTATATACAAAATCGTGTTGAATGGGTCCAAAATCAGGATCTCGATTGGAAAATACCCTATTAATTGATAAAACTGCCAAATATTCCGTAATACAATAAAGAATTGGTATAAAAATGCAAGATCAATTCGTTCAATTCTAAAGAACCTTAATAAATATTTGCATGGGTGGTATGGACGGAAAAATTATTAGTCATGTTGTTAAGGATGCAATTTTATGTTAGTCCCTTTTTAATTTCAGTATGAACTATTGATTACTAATCATGATATATATCAACTATCTATAATCTATAATTTTCAAGCTAAGTTATACAGCACCATAATAATAAATATAATAAAACACTGTACTAGAGATAATTCCTTGGAAAAAATAAGACACATATTACATATGCTATATAGATAAAATTGCTGACAATTTTCATTAAATAAATAAAGGTCGTGCTTTGTTGTTGGAGACGAATAATGTATGTGTTCAAGAAGAAAATAAGTATGTTATTTATATGCGGGGAATCAAGAAATCTTAAATTATAGATGTATATTTTTAATACCAATTCTTTTATATATAAACCCGAAATTCTGTTTTGTTCAATGAATAGGTTGACGAGTCTTGGGAATAGACGTTAGAAAACTTGAAATAATAAATTACACCTATACACTTTCAAAGAATGAGATTGACGTGTCTTGAGAAGAGACGTCTAATATCTTGACATAATAACATGCCGCGTCTCCATGTAGACTTGACTAATAACAAACTAGCTACACAAAGAATCATATAAGTAAAATTGTTATATAAATCTTTCTTAGGACAGGTCTGGTTAACCTGGTTTCGGTCATTGATTAAATCAATCAGTTGTCCATTCCATTACCAAGAATCAGAAAAGCATGTTTGATATTTATGTATGAGTGACTTGCATTATCAAGTGAACTATTTTTGACTATTGATTTGTCATGTTCAATAATTGTCCATAAATTGAAATTAGATGATTCTATTGCACATTTCAATCGCAAATTAAAGAAATCAATTATGCTAATTCTTTATGTTAGTCATTTAGTCATTTCCGCAATTACGTTGAATCATCGCAAAAAGAAAAATGTTTAATGTGATTTTAGGAGATGAATTTACTACAGATAAAATCAAACGATAGATCAAATATGTTTTCGCAGCACACTAACTTCACTTTTATGAATTAAAATATCATATATTATCATAAAAATTAAATCCAAATAAAAAAGATAATTGAATCATATAGATTCGATTTCAACAGTAATTTTTTTGACATCTCGTTTCACGAAATTTTTTTGCGATGGTCTCTCTCCGGGATTTTAACTTTATAAAAATCTTTGTTTAATAAATTACCGTGTTAATATTCATTAGAAAAATATAAGACTCTAAAAATGCCAGTTGTTATTATATATTTCCCCATTACAAATCACTGAAATTAATTCATTTTATGTTCCCAAGTATACAATGACATCATACGGATTCTTATTGCTAATTAAATCTAAACTAGATTATTGAAAAAAATATAACAAATATCCTTAAAACATTTCACATTGATCCAAAAAAAAATTATCAAAGCGATAACTAATATTTAATGTTCATTTTTTCTAGCTTTTTTTTTAATAAAAAAAAGCTCAAGAATATATAGTATGAATGTTATGGAATTTTATTAACTTTCAACGAGAGAATCAAGCAAGGCTAGTTTATCTTCCGGAATTTCGGTAACGGAGGATATTATCTTTCGAAGGGAGAAACGGAATTCCTCAATAGAATTATATTTAAGACTTTTGATACCATTCTTTTTGATGAAAGCAAATTTCGATTGGCTTATACATTGATGATGTACGAAAACCAAAGAGTCACAGCATTTCTCCTTGAGATCGTTATGTAGAATGATTTCGAGATGTGTAAAATCGTCTTCTTTTAAGTATTTCTTGATTTTTGTAGAAAAGATTTCGTATTTACTAATAAATTGTTTGAAAAGATTAAGGATATTTTGCTCAAACTTAGATTCATTTAGACCGATAAGAATTAAAAGCCGTATCAGACGAAGGATTATTGTCAAATAATCCTGTTCTTTACAAAACAATAGGTCGAGAAGCTGTTGAACTTGATCAATCGTATTATTGATTGCAGACAGATAGTTCTTTCTGCTATAAGTATATCGATCTGGAATGAGTGGTTTCGCAGTAAATGATTCAAAGTAATTAATCAGATAGGCTCGAGGAAGACACAAATCACAATATTTTTGACCAACTGCGAAAATCAAAGAAGTTGTAAATTCCACGAGAGATGTAAGATCTCCAAGAGATTCGGATGAAACCAGGTTGACTTGTTTAATATTTATTAAGGCATAATTAATAAATGACTTTGAACTTATTATTGCGGAAATCACTTTATTATTATAAAGAAAAGAGAAAAATTGCGAGAGATATCTTCCAACTGGAATCGCTTGATAATTTCCACAGTAATATTCAAACCCAACGGTCAGATCGTTAGGGTGTGCAAGTACTTTAGTTTTCGACATCTCCCGATTGAACTCTTCGATAACCGTTTTGTCATGCAGCTGTTGAATAACTAACATGTATTTTAACATAACATCAAAATCGTTAGCATTCTTTGACTTATTAAATAACCTTTTCTTGTAAGCTTCATTTATAAGACCATCACGAACGTGAATAGGAAGATTGGCAAGAGCCATGTAAGTAACCTCTGGGCAGCTTGTATATAGTGATTGATAACGTATATGACATTCAACGAGATTCTCAGCCCACCAATTTTGTAAATCAAGAAATTCTTTACAAAGAAGTCCGTGACGGTATAATACATCCAACTGTCGCACCACAGTGTATTGAAGTCTTGCAAGTTTCTGGCGTTAGAACAGAAAGAATGGTGTCGGAGTTACGTGATGCATTTGGCAATTTGAATTTCGACAATTACCTAATGACGCAAAATTATAGCAGATTATCGAAGCTACATTCGGATTGTCTTTACCATCCTGACCGACTTTCGAAATACGATCATAGATATATGTGATAAGGAACTTCGTAATTGACTGATACACAACATCAACGTCACAAATCATCCAACTGTCTGTAATTGCTTCATTCTTATGCTTGATGTCCATAAGGTAATAAAGAGGGTTGTAAAAGGAAATTTTCAGTTTCTGAGGGTTTTGTATTTTTCCGAAAAAAATATCCATGAATTCTTTCAAGATTTTTGTAATGTCATCATTTTTTTGTGTGGCTATATAGAGAAAGGCCAAATTACACAATCTCAGCAGGCATTGTAACCTTTCATCCCAATATTTGATATTAATTTCAGATGGTGAGGGGATCTGCAGCCACATGATTATTGCAATAATCTCAGTGGAAAGCACTTGATTCTTCATGAAAAATTGTCTGCACTCGTAGACTTTACTGAGATTCTTATTTAAATAAAAGATATATAACCGAGATTCCTCCATCAGACTCTTCGATAGTTCAGTTTGAATTATAATTTTTGAGATGGACTTGTCCGCTTTGGTTTGAAGCCTATTCAATTCCTGCATGGTACTTAAGCTTGTGAAATCTGTAATTATCTCTTTCAGTACATTAATTCTGCATAGCCGTAATAGGTACTGAGTAGCATCAATTGTATTCTCGTCATCATCAACTGAACGGTTTAGCATATCAGCGGCCTCTTAGAATTTATCATGCGAATATAGCTTTCTTGCTTCATTTCGAAAGTGGATATTAAGATTATGGATTGTCTCATCACTGATATCTTGTTTGTGCCTTGTTCAATAGTTTGGATAAGAGTTACAAACCTTTCATTTTATGAATTGACAACTAATTAAAGATCCTTACTATGTTTACCTCTGAATTAAATCATTTACCATATCATAAAGACAACCATCTTTATAAGTAAGAACTGCATCATCATAATTCTTCGTCTTTACAAAATACCCACTTGCTTCGTTTCACATCCTAACCTCACGATAATAACACGCTGCATCTCCAAATATATTTGATTCAGAATAAAGTTCACCAGCTTCTCTAAACATGTTAATATTCTGAAAAGATTTGTAAATTTATAAATATCTAAACTAGATGTATTACACCGAATAAATCACAAAAGCCAAGGTTGTGGGGTTGGAATATCTATGATAAACCATACCTCATAACAAGTAGCCGCTTGTGGCAATCGGGAACATTCTTCAAAGGCACGAGCAGCTTTTGTGAAGTTGGCCTTTATAATTGTCTCATTGTTACCGGTTACGAAAGAAGTCCTGACTAACTGTTGAAGATGATATGCATAGGCTAATTTTTCGCCTTTCCCATTTCCACTCCTTTTGAAGCAGAAAATAGCCTAGAAGATTATGTCCATTGAGAAACTCAGCTCATTATTATATACATAGTACTGAAATATTTTTAAGAGTTTACCTGTTCATACTTCCGTTGCTCAAAAAACGTCCTTCCTTAACAATTCCACTCTGATGGACTATTTGACTTAGTCAAGGTAAAGATGTCGATTTTATCAGTTATTATTACTAGATTTTTGTGTCTCCAGTATGTCCGAATTGGCTCACTATTCTCGGAATTTTCATCAAAAATCTAGAGATGTTCTCTAGCTCTGGTTATGGCCACATAAAGATGTTTAAGCTCCGAGGAAAGGATATAATGCTTATCGGGATAGAATATGCGGATCCCACCAGAATAGCCTTCCAAGTCTGAGAGAATTACTCGCCACTAAATATGATATAAATATAATCCGAGTAGCTTTTAATAATCGACTAGAACGTGCTTTAAACAAAAATTTATATTATCATACATGTAAATGTGCGGGCGAATCAGTAAAGAAATCATATAATAACACATCATTAAACTCCATCCCTTTGGCCTCGAATACAGTTAAAACTAATCCAATATCGCAGTTTAGATTCTTCACACGCCGTTTAGCCTTTTCATTACGTACGATAATGACCTGATCAGCTCCAAATTTAATAAATGCATCTTCTTTTTCGATATCATTTCTATAGGCAAACAGATTTTTTGCCTGACAACTCTCAAAGATAATAAGTTTTGGACCACTAATCTCACTGAGTTCAGGTGATAGCCTGTCAATTGAATTAGGAAAAAATTTCTGAAGGAGGTAAATTACTGAGGATGCTAGTCGAAGAATCCCTCTATGGGAATGGTAATTAATGTTTAGTTCGAACTTTTTTGGTTTAAAGGAACTATATCGATTGTTTTCGGTCAAGACTCGTTTGTGTTCCCATTGGTGAATTAATGAGTATAAATCTATTTATTCTTAAAAAATTAGAGTTATGAAAATGAAATGTAGTTGCTAATCTTGGATAAAAAAAACGCATACCCTCGAATCGAAAAGTAGACCCTCGGGCTATACATTGCGCCACATCACCTGCCATGAAAAAGCTGTCGGCGCGGTCAAAAAGTTTCAAAATAAGCATGTAATCTATGATATGGTTATCTTGACATTTGTCAATATACACTTCATGTATATGCGGCCCAGCAAATGTTCTTGTTTTGGTTGCACGTAATATGAATTTAGTTCTATAAAAAGAATTGAAAATTTATTAACGTTTATTCAAAACTAAAAAAATTTACACAAACTTTACCTGTCCGCTGAATCAAAGTCATAATTTCGCGCTTTATACTTCTCATATCGCTCAAATAAATCATAAATCTCATCACGATTGTGAGTATATGCTGGGTATTTCCTGCTACTAATAGACCGGTATTCTTCTCTTGATAGACAATCCACCTCAATATTCGTGCCCTTCAGATTATTTATTGAAAATCTTCATAAACGTCAAACACACAGTTTACATGCGTATAATTGATTTATATTTACATACTTTGATAACGGAGAACTCTAAATAGACCAGCTCGCAATCCAACTTATTTCTGTAATTATAACCGAAATGAGGCCAGTACTTTTTTTCGAACAGATCATAATTAACAAAGGTAGCCCACGAAGCTTTTGACAAGTTTGTAAAGGGAGACCTATAGTGAGTCACCTCCTCCTCACCATTATTATCATTATCTTCATCGTGTTCTTGTTGTTGTCCTGTGGTCAGCTTTCGAGTGTCAATGCCGTAGGTCCCCCGGAGCATTTCAAAAAACTTTTCGTGAGTAATAAATAATGGGAAATGATGGTCCGTCAGCAGACGGAACGTGTTTGGAATTTCACCCAGGGTTTTAACCTCATCGCCTTCTTCATGCATGTTATTGTTATCAAGCGCTTTATTACTTCCGTATTCCTTTTTCTATTCAATGAATTGAGCCTTCGTAATTTTTTCTCTAGCAAGCTCCGCTGATTTTTGCAATTGGTTGAAGTATTTCTTTACTCGCATGCATAGAATGGGGTTTAATGTAATAAATATTTGTCTTTTGTAAAAATACTCGTCAATTCCATGCGAAGATGGTGTCTTGTAAAGTTGGCTTTCCAGATATGAAATGAGCTGTCTAAGTATGATACATGTAGTCTTGCCGGTCCCTAAATATTTGACATTTAGAACAAAATCAACAAAGTCTGCAAGTAAATAATGGCCGAAGCTAGATTACTAACCAGATCGTCCAAAAATGACAGTCGACTTAGGATGCTTAATTATATCGTACTCAGTCTTAGATACTTGAAAAGTGAAATCAAAGCCACTCAAAATGAGCGACTTGAATAAATCCTGAGAGAAATTATTAACTTTAAGAATTTATTCGTCAAATAATTAATACGATATAACGGATAGCATACTTTACCTTTGATATAGGAATAAATTTATTTGTAACAAACATTTTATGAACTTCTAATAGCCACTCATTGTCCAATACTTCATTGGTTTACTTTGTTACCTCAACCTCATCATTTTCAAAATATTCCGGTAAAATGATATAATCTTAGTCTTAAATTGTGCAACGATCAATATGTTCAGAAGTGTAAATCTTGTAAACTTTTTCAAGGGTTTTTAATGTCATGTAAATCTGTTTTTGATTTGCAGTGATGGCCCATACCTTTACATATTGCATGAATGAACTTTTACAGATAGAGAATCCATAATCAACTTGCTAGAGAATTATCAAATTGTTTTCAGGGAGCTCTACTTCGTAGACCGGAATATCGATAAATGATGATTTACGTTGGAAACCATACTTTTTCCACTTTCTGGATGATATCTGGCCGAGTTTTTTCATGATAGTTTCAATAGTGAGAGGTAACTCTACTTGCATATCTTTGAAGTCTTCATTATACAGCATTTCCCGTAAGTCTTTGATCGTGTTTTCACTGAGCAGAATTTCTCACGGTCCAAGTTCGTCAGTATTGAATGGTAAGTAAACATAACGTTTATATGTCTCACTTTTGACATTTTCTCGAATTCTTTCCTCCATATATAATGATTATTTGTAAATACTGTATATATAAATAAATATATACTATTTTTTTAGAAATAATAAATTTTATGTTAAGTATATTTGGCTTAACTTAGAATGAGAAATTGGTTGACAATTAAATATTCTTTTTGTTTTTGAATTTAAAAGAAAGCTACAACCGAAAAAGAGACGATCTTCAAATTCCGGAAAAATCAACATTGTTATAAATAAATATATGGTCTGCCGTAGCATAAGTTTAACGGCGGCGCCTGATATAATATTTCAATTTAAAGTGAACTTATGTACAGGTGCATTGTCTAACCATAAATAATTCCGAATACTCCTTCTTTTACTTTGTGATTCGATACCAAAATAATATTAATGTTAGGTACATTTTTGTCGATATAAAATTCTTAAGTTCTTTTCACCATATAGTAGTCTTTTCCATTTTCTTCCGCTGGCAAGTAGGAGTAGCATAACGACTATTTAATTCCAATACTTGTATGAATTTCAAGAGTCTTGATAATTTAAGAAATAAATATCTGTTGTTTAAAAACGATAAATGACAGAATGCACAATATTAGAAAGTATATTCCTCTTCTTTCGAGAAGAAAGTGTAATCGTAAGCACAATATTCAGTAACTTGATCATTTGAAATTCAATTATGGATAAAGTTGAAATACTCACGAATCATGAAAAATTTCCTCAAAGTCAAATTGGAGATTGGAATAAGTTTAATTACAATTTTTTTTTTTCATCACTTTAAAAATAAATAAGGTTTAACTACTGCAAAATTTAACTTTTAAGAAATATACGTTAAAGAATTTCTTGAAGTGCTCTTCTTTATGTTAAATAAACAGGTCGTTTTTATTAATGAATTACGTTTTTGTTGCATAAATTAAACTTTTTATTGAAAAACTTGAAAAATAATAAACACCCAACAAATATTTAATTGTGGTGGCTTTATCTAAATATTATTTCATGAATGAATTTTATAAATAATGTACCACAACATAAAAAAAAAAGAATTTATGAAAGTATCAATAATATTCAGGGTCATGTAGACAATTACAATTTTAAATTCCTTTAAACAACTGATTTTTGTTTTCAATTTAATCGAATAGTAGAACGATCAGAAACACTTAGTTCGTAAGAGGCAAGTTTGTTATCCGTCCCAAAATTTGTGACTACTTTAATACGCAGTTCACACTAATGCTAATTTTTTTTCTCCAATAAAATATTTTTTCTTTTCAAAAAGATTATCTCTTTTAACTTTACTCATTTTTGCAGATACAATGTCAGAATTACAAACTTTGAAACGAATATAAACCTTTAAAGTCAGTACTACGTATTAAAATCCTGTAGTAAGAAACATAAATCTTATTTGCTAATTTTAATTATAAAAAATAAAAATTCATAGTGCCCATATTATAGATGAGGGACGAAACCCCTTAATAACAGTCGAAACTTAGACGAAACTATATTAAAATCATAATAAGGGATACGACGAAACCCATTCGATACGACGAAAGCCGAAACTGTCGAAACTATATTAAAAACATAGAAAAGGGTATGACGAAATTATTTTGAGGAGGTTTCGGCAGGCATCTATAGCCCATACTATGCAAGAAATAAACTTTTTACTTGTAGGATGCGAGAAAAATTGCAAAATAATGAAGAGAATGTCTTTCGGAAATATTTGTTAATATTTTAGCATTATTTATGCGTTGTGCTGAAGCACGTCAAAAAAAAAACTTATACCTAATATCCATATTGTGCTGAAAATATTCGGCATAATGAAGAAACGGAAAGTGTCTTTTAGATAAATATACAAATTGCTATACTTCACTACGATGGCGTCGTAATAAGGGACGATATGAATGAATATTATATAAAACAAAGTTACTTTGAATTTCTGTCAGAAAATCGTAAATTAAATTTTGGTTAACCGATAGGTTATATTATTAGCCGACTAATTTCAGCGGTAAATTATTTCTTAAATATTGTGTACAAATTTCTTTAATAGATAAGTGCATAAATTTAAAAAAAATATATTATAAAGTAATTATAAACTTAAGAATCAATATATTTGATAATTTATTTGAAGGTGTGTACGGAGTTGTGGAATCTTCTGAAAAAAATTTTTTTGGGAAGATTTCACAACCACGTATACACCACCTTTTTTTCATAAGAAAGTTTAATTTTTCATTATACATTCTTTATTAATAATTACAGTATATATAATCAAATACTTCATATTAAGCTAATCTGGATTTATAGGTTCAATGCCATCTATTTCATCATCCTCCTGATAATATTTTGTTCCATGTAAAAGGACATCTGGAATGCTTCCATTACTGATAAGATGTAACCATTTAATCATACGTTCTGCTGCTCTCGCGCTAAAAATTTCAGTGATAAATGCTTTCAGTATGTCATTACTTGTGCTACCGAGATGTGACACAGTTATATCTGGCCGTGATAGCACTTATTGATCAATGTACTGTAAAAGATATCAAAGACAGCTTGCAAACTGATGCATTTGGTATTTCTCGCCTTTTTTGGGCATTTAGACTATCCTTTTCCATTTTCTGAATTATAAAATTCGGGCTTTGTTCTTCGTCCAGTTTCTGGTTGAATGCCAGCGCGAGCTTAGCATTTTCACGATACTCATAGTTATACAAAAATGACGCTTTTAAACGGGTGTCATCGGCAACGAAAATGATCATTTTTCCAGACATTAGTTGACGATCCAAGGATGTGATTATCGCAGTAGCACTACACTATCCACAATAGGTGACAGGGTTGGAAATAGTGTTTCAGGCGAAATTAGATTTTGTCAAATTGATCTGCAAAAATCTTTCCAAATTTAGGATTTTGGTATAGTTTCTGATCAGAGAAAAATTCTGGGCAAAACGTTTCAGATGTTAAAAAATAGTTTCGCCTGAGCAACTAGTTGGAAAAAACGATCAACCGCATCTAAAAATATTTATCGATTTGTACTTCCTGCGGAGAAAGTAAGAACTGAAAAATTAGGAATTTCTAAGAATCGAACATATTCTTCCATACGTCTGATAATATTGACTAACTCAATGTCTGAAATTTCCTTAGACAACCGAGAAGCAATATTAGGTGTTGACTTGTGTAAACGTTTAGCCATAGGTGCAATCTCTTCAATTGTATAGAGAAACGTTTGGTCCCTTGTAACTGAGCGCTCGATTCCTATAAAGAAAATCTAGTTAAATTGTGTTTATAAGTATGATAACTAAATCAGGCTATCAAACTACTTACACATTGGAACCGAACCGATTAAAATAGTTATTTTAACTCCAGCAGAAATTCAATTACGGCCAGTATGATTTTCAAAAATATTTGCTAACTCTGCCTAAGTTACCTTTAACCGTTTATTAACTGGTTAAAGAATTTTATCCGGTTCTACACCTTTCATTGTTCATATCTTCATAATAATTATTGGGTTCATGATCATGATCATCATTATTTTCGTGATGATTATTTGTACCATTTAAAATTTTGTCCTAAAAGCAAATAAATCCTGTACATCACCATGTTATCACGACCATAACCATTACGAGGAAGAAGGATGACAGGGAGAATGATGGTCAGTACCAACACTAGAGCCAGAGCCAGAACCAGCATCATTATCAGAACCGCTGCTATAACAGTTTTATCATGAGCAGCCTTTATACTATAACATTATCATTAAGGTAATGAATATAATCATAAATGTCAATGATCTTTACAAAATGGACAATACTGGTCGGAAAAATTTGTTTGTGTTCAATACAGTTTCGGTGGAAAATGTTCCCGCATGTTAAGATAGTGTTTGGTTTTAAAAGTTGTGGGAATATCTCCTGGCAAATTTCACAAAGATATGAGTGTTGGGGATTAAACTCTTCCGGAATTATCTTGATACGCGAAATCCTTTAGCTTGATTTTCACAGAAATCTATTGTAAAAATTTAGTTAATGAATTAATTTACACAATCATTGCAATATCCTTCACTTACTTTTTATAGTCCTGAAATTAGGGTTGGTTCGGTCCGGTCCGGTCCAAAAAGATCGGACTTTCATCTTTCTTTGGACCGGACCGGTCCATAAGTCAGTCCAAGGACCGGTCTTCTACCATTCGGTCCTACCAGTCCGGTCCGGTCCAAGATTTGCTTTCTTCTCGATCCAGACCGATATGATATACATATAAGACTGGTCCAGAATATATTAAAAAATATTCACCTGATATATATACATATAAAATGATCAATTAATAAAATAATTGTATAAATTTAAAAATAAAAAAGTATATAATTGCATACGAAACGATTGTTGCGCCTTCTTTAATATCCATATCGTTACAGTAAAATATTAGGACAGGTCCAAGGACTGACTATGGACCGGTCCGTTCCATAAAAGAGATGAAAACCGGGTAGATCCATCTCTAATTTTGTAATATTTTATAAATAAATAAAACAATTTATTTAGTATTATATAAAAATTAACCTTAATTTACAATAATATCCCTACCTCGAAATAGTCCTTCCCAGAAGGATTGCAGACGATTTTCGTTGCAGTGCATCATCTTTTTTATTTAGTGATAAAAGAAGGTACATAGCCAGATGATCCTTCAGAATCAGCAGACCTTTATCAACAACAAAATTAGTGCGCCTGAATTCAGGACTTGGATGATACCAAGCTGTCAACCCCAGTAATTCTCCTGAGCCAAGGCACATTCCACGAGTTACCTATTTACAAATAAAATAAAAAAACGCACTTTCCTTTTTAAATCGTAAAATTTCCTCCGTTTCTCTTAAAAATGGCGGCCTAACCATTATCAAGCTCTTTCCAATATAAAATTGCTTTAAGGATGAAATTATGATATATCGATTAAGATTGAGAAAACCGCGTTACGACTTTTTGTAAAAAGGAGACAAGAGCTAATAAGTTAAATATTGAATAAATTTTTACTAAAGATTGCAAGCTATAGAATTTAAAGTAGTAATCAGAATATGGTTCGTGCTTGCTTTCCGTATTCAGAACATCATTTGTGAGAATAAAAGTCAAAAATTCGACGACTTTATATACTGTATTTCTGACCAGAAATGACGATCGGCATAGGGAACATTCCTAATTTAGTAATCACAAGACCGATCAAAATATTTATTGCTCCGGGAGGAGTCTTCCTCTGTAAAAATATGAAAAGAATTTAATAAGCTGTCCGATTTGAATGGCTATTTCTTCTTTCGGAAACGTTATAATTTTTTCAGGTATGCACACCGCTATGGAAATTCACAACTTTCTTTAAATCAATTACTTTTATATAATGTAATGTATTTCTTTGTATTATTAAATTAAAATATATAATCGTATTGTAATCATATTTCCAATTAGATCGTTTTTTGTTGATGATCCTCTATTTTCTAAATCTATGATAATTGATATTCGCCAGCATATGAAAATTTGCAGAATTTTATTAAGATTATAGTTGATGCATTTTTATACTTCTCTTCTTTTTTTGTGAAAGAACATGTTACATGAACAAGACAATAGTTTAGAATAATTTGAGCATAAATAATATGTGGAGTCGAATGTTATGTAAAATTGAGAATACACCGATTAAATAAGAAATATATTGTAGGATGTAGTTTATCTTCAAGAGTACTATTGATTTAATGATTAGCACTTTGTAACTCACTTTATCAATTATGTTCGTATATAGAATGTCCAATTTAAACAAGCATATTTTTATTTAAGTGAATTTGCAATAACTTCTCGCGTGAAAAATCATGAAAAATAGACCATTCAAAAAATATATATTTGAATTAATTTATTTATTAATAATTAAAATAAACATAATTTCGAAATACTAATCATTAGATTTATTTTTTTTTTTTGCATGTATACATACCTTTTTAATTATTTTTTAGCTGGAAAACCAATAAATTAGTTCCCACTTATAGATGCTGCCCATACCTAATGCTATAGAATCGCAAATTCCATTTAATTTATAATATATTTTAAATCAATATCTCATTTGAATTTTCTCATTAAAACGAAGCTAATGAATTAAATATCATTAAATTATGATCATTAATTATGACGATATTGTTTGAAAAGTTTGGTTTAACGAATGGAATGGGATTGGGACTTTATCCCATACCCATATATGTGTGACAAATATATACTTAAATGATATAAGTTTCGGGTTTTTCGATGAGTTTATATGAGCCTAAATTTGTAAAATAAGATGATTTTATTTAGGTAATTGATGCCAAATTTTATTCTATCTTTATCGTTATTATGTATAAAACTAGATCTTATTAAATACTTATTTAGCTTTATAAAAAACATTCAAATCTATTACTTTTTTAATTTTTTTTTGTTTCATCAACAATAACATTACACCAGCTTTTTTATATTATTAATTATCCAATGATTTCTACTTGTTTTAATATGTCGATACTACGTGCATAAATTTTTTTTTTTCAAGAGATTCATTCATTTTTGCGTACAAGTAAAATGTAAAGTATTATGCTATAGTTAAAATCATCGATCCATAATAGACTATGCTTCATACTCGTGACCTTCAAACATTTTGGATGTACAGTATTTAACAAAATTAAGAACATCTTTGTTTTAAACGAATTTATCGAGCTTTTTCAATTTATTTCAAATTTATTGCTCAAATGTTTAATTAATTAGAGGATGGAACTGGTTAATTTTTAACCCGGATTTTACAATCAAAATAAAAATAATTAATATAAGAACTTGGATTTAAAATTATAAAGTTTCAATTGATGACAAAAAATCAAAAATAAAATTACAATAAATATCATGGTCTCAAAATGCTCTTAATTTCTATTGGGATTTATTTCAAGATACTATGATTTCTGTTGCAAAAAATATATACCTATATACAAATCCTGAATCGGTCATGGCTCAAAACAATCTTTCAATATATCTCATATTTATAATGATATAAAAACATTACATGCATTTTCTTGTCTAACGAAAATGTTTGAACAATAAGCAGATTAGTTCTATATAGTCCAATTTATATAGAAATTTTATTAATATTACACATTTGTCTAACTTCTGTGTTATTTCCTTGAACTATCACCCACTTTAGAACTTTTAGGCTCTGTTTTTACAGATATAAATTTGCTTTTCATAGGTTTACAAACAAAAGCAAAAATTCAAGAATAGGACTTCAAAATTAAAAGTATATAACAAACACTTGAATAACATATTGAGAATTTCAAAGTTAACTCTTCAAGAATGATTAATTCAGTCTTAAACTATAAAAGAATAGTTAGTCAATTCTGTTCCTTCTAAAAGTTTACTTATAGAAATACCAGATATTAAAAAGGAAGTTGCTAATCATTTTCAAAAGGTTATTGAAATATCCTACAAGGACACACCAATATCAGAAGAATGGAAATCCACTTATCAACCTCTTACTGAAATTCAAATATTTACTCAAATCTGATTTCTTTTTTACAGCAGAAGAATGGTACTAAATAAAAAGTCATCTTCTAAATAATAAAGTCTCTAGACTTTTAAATATCAAATTAAATGCTAAAACACTTTAGATTTATAGCTAAAAAAATTTTTTAGTATATCATCTGTAAATGTTTATAAATCTTATCTATACTAAATCACTAAATTTAGCCTATATATATCTCATCTCTAAGTTAAAACTATGAGAATACAATCTTAATAATGCCAAATCTATTACCTTACTTGAATATTTTAGAAAGATTTTTGTTAAATTAATTAATACTAGGTTAGTTATAACTTTGTTTAATATAATATTTTAAGAGAATACAATTTTACTGGTCTTTCTTTCAAAATAACCTTTGATTTGATTCATATTTTAGACAATATTATATATGATGCCCATTACAACAATTCTGATCTTTAGATCTTTTACAAAATATGTTAAAATCTTATGATACTATAAATATTTTTATACTTATCAATAGTATTGATATTGGATTTTATTCAATTTTCAATAATGGACTATTAAACTTTAGACCTAATAGAGATATTCAGTCTAATTCAAATTCAAATAGATAATAAATATATAAATTTAGTTAAATTTATAATATTAGACTAACTTAAAAATTTAAATAATAATAAAATCGTTTAACTGGAATAATTCTACTAACCTGACCTGAATTTTCAAAGATAGAGAGTTTGAATTAATATTACAAATATTTTAAATTTATCTTATTCTACTAAAAATCAAAATGAAAACTTCAAGATAATTTTCAAGAAACCTAATTATTTAAAAAATTCTAACAAATATCAATAAAAATAATTTATATAATATTAATTTTATATAAATTTATTGTTGTTAAATGAAGTCTATAGTCTAATAATCCAAATTCTAATAGAATTAAAATGTATTAAATCCAATAGTCCAATAGTCTAATAGTCCAAAAATCTATTAGTATAAAAGGCTTACACTGCTTATAAAGGTTTTGAAGTAACTTAGAATTTCTTATACTTTTATTCAAATTATATTACAAATCTTTTTTCCTCATTTTAATCAAGTTTTTACAGTATATGATAATATCAGCATTTATTTAATTCATTTAATATTGCATAAGAAAAAGTTATTTTGCTATTATTATAGTATATTTATTATGATCCCCTTCTTTGCAAAATAAACAAATCTCAGTACAGATATAATATAAAAGTACAATAAAGACCTAATAATTATTCACCTGTTACAATTATTTTACAATACAAAATACCTATAATTATTTATATGAATAATATTTTGTAAATTGTTAACTCAAAAATAACTTGACAAATATTATTAAAATTGTGATCAGTTCCTTTGCTTTAAATAATATATAAGTTAATTAGTCAAAGTCTAAACTATTGATTAAAACTTTATAGACAATACCTTTTATTATTTAATAGATAATAACAATTAGACCATCACTTAATATAATTCTAAGGAAAATATTAGATTCCTAAATTTATAAGGTTTGCTACTTCTTAATAAAAGTTTATCAATAATCAATCACACAAAAAAATTAAAAAGCTGTAACAATTATAAAATATAAGAGGCTCATAAACTCTCAACTTATTAATATTTTTAATACAGTAATCTTATCTCATTCAAATATAGATCTTAATTCACATTACCTTTTAAATTGCAATATAACAAAATTATTATTATGTATTTGGCTTTTATTAAACAAAACTTTTAAAATAAACATTTTTAGACTTATTTTACTTTCATTACTTTTATAATTTATACCTTTATTTCAACGTTTTTTTCAGAAATTTAGAAATTCTTTATTATAAATGATTAATAAAGTCAATATTCTTAGTATTATATTTTACATTTATATAATTCAATTATAAATAAAAGAATGGTTATTTAAAAATCTGCTAATCTATTAGCTTTTTATAATCTATTACCAACTGACAATTAACTTCTATTACTTCTATATATCCTTAATAATCTTAATATCAAATTAATTATTTTAACTTCTATACAAAATATTATTACTAGTAGTAATTTTTTAATCTCAAATTAATTCTGTTGATTTAAAAGAAACACATATAAGAACTTAGAAAATATTCTCTTATTTACGTTAAACAATTAGTTAGCTATTATGATAATTACATATTTATATATAGTGACCTTTATACTATTACTTAACTTACTGTATACTCTTTTATGACTTCTAAATGGTTCCTTATATTAAAAAAATTAAATCCAGATAATAATTGAATTTTACTATTAATACAATTATATAATCATAATTTTTGCTAACTTGATTACCTTTTCTGATCTCTAAAATAATAAATATTATAGTTGAATAGATTAAAAATATGAACTCTTTTATTCTTAGTAAAGTAAATTTTTTAATAATATTATTATATATTTAATATACTTATTTCTTTAATAAGCTCTTGAAACTATATAATTCTAAACTTTTGTGACCGCTGATAACTTTATCAAGTTACAGCCTCATCTTTAAGAAAATATTATAATAACTGTTTTTTACACTTCTCTTGAGATTTTATATAGCTATTCTAATTATATTTAAGAATAGTCATTACAATATTACACATAGTGTCTTATCTTTAGAAGCCTTGCATAAACTCACTGTAACAAGTTTCTTATCTTTAGCCTCTTTATAATTTTAAAACCCATTACTCCTATAAATTTTTAATCTTGATAAATTTATTTTACCTTTGTATAATACATAACTTTTTAATCTTTTCTCTTTTTTTTTATTTATTTAAATAATTTAAATTTAACCATCTATTCCAATTACAATATTTCAATTTTTATTAATTCTGCAGCTATTGTTTCATAATTTAATTATTTTAAATTTCTTTTGACTAGATTTCCTATAATTTGACCAATTCTTAAAATTAACTATTTTATATATTAAAAGTGTCTTTTTGAATTGATTGATACTAATAATTTTAATATCAAATTAATTAAAATTAAAGCACATTTAGATAATATCTTTAATAACAAAGTCAACTTCTTAGCTCAGTTATCTGCACTCAACAATCCTTTAACTCAATCTTATAATACTTTAGATATCATTTTATGTATCATGATTCTACTATCATTATTTTTATCTAACAGTTCATAAAATACATCTTTTGCAATATTTATTTTTAACTTAATCAAACTGAATGTATTATTTAAATAATCACAAATTTATCAAATAAACTAGTTTTCTATATTACTTACATTTAGTAATAATACTGCTCTTCATATTATATTTTATACTACCTTCTTTCTAAGAAAATGAAATATCAAAAATTTCTAAAAATGCTATCTACTTTTGAAATACTTAAGAAAAGATATCTATTACTTTATTCACTAATACTTTTATATTTAAGATATAATACAGATTATAAAGATTTCTATTACATTTAGATATACAGTATCCTATTTTTAATCATTAGATGAAAGATATTATTAGACAATCAAAAGATCATCTCAAATTCATTACTAATATATAAGATTATGAAATTAAATAGCATGACTGATGAATGTTGTTTACCTACAATTTCACTTTCTTCTTCACTATTATTAAAAGAATTATTTTTAATTACCTTTTTAATTTATTTGTAGTAAATTTACTTTTCAATCTCTTATCTTTACTGCTTGTTTCTCTTTCATAAATTTTATATTTGAAGCAACTTATAATATTTGAAAAGTTTGCTATCAGATTATTCATGACTTTAAAATATCCTTAAATATCAATTTTAATTCTAAAAAAAAGCTTTTTTTCTTCTGGTTATATACTTTTCTCTAATATTTCTTTTACTTTTAACAGATAAATCTATCAATACTATAAAATATTTAAGATTCTATTAGTCAAATTTTTTATATATTAGTAACTATACATTTCTTTTTTTTATATATATTATTTCTAAAAAGTAATAATCTTAGCTTAAGTTAAAAATAATGATTTTATAATGTAATATAGTGTTAATTATATATATAATAAATACAAATTATGTATTTTTAAGTAGATATCTTTTTAATAATTATGTGCAATTATGAATTAAAATTTGTAATTATATATAATTATATACAG